AACTTACCGTGAAACAGACAGGATCAAAGCGGCTTCCGTCTTTTCCCTACGAGTATGTGTCGAATTCGAATTTCAAATATGTTCACGCACTTCCTAGTCACTATCCCTCGTCGATTTCGCAAAAAAAAGTAACTGCATTGATTAAGACTCTGCAATGGGTTGATTACAGTTTCTTCTGGAGCAAGTGTCCTCATTAAAAAAAATTCTAAAAAGTAATATGTTGTATAACAAGCAACTTAATACCAAGCGTTGAAGAGCCAAAGAATTTTGATTTCCCGGATCAATGGAAAAACAAATATTTCACGGGATCGAGGCTTAATCAATCCGATAATCAAGTATCCACGTCATTCATCTACTAATTTAAATTAAGTCCGTAAAAACTACGTTATGGATAGGATTACGGAGACCGGACATGCTTGGGTAGCTGGAGGAAAACAATCTTTATGAAAATACCACAACTCCTTTGCTTACAGTGCGCATGAACTGCCTTACAAAACGTGAACTCAATGAATCAAAACCGCAGGAAACAGACGGACTTAGCCGTGCGTTTAATTTATTGGCAGAGGAATTTTTATGAAATTTGATGTCGAACACCCGAATTGGCGCTTACCGTATTTGCAAGATGCGAGCAATTTACCATCGAGCAATATCCCATCGATTCGATGGTATAATGCACCAACTTTGTCAACTTACTTTTATTGGAGTGCCACAGAATGCAATCTTTCTAAACTTTATGGAGCAGACCTTTAAAATTGATCGCATGATGTTTTCCATTTTCATTAGAAGCTCTACATTTTCGAACTTTTATTGTGAACTTTCATAAACTGTGAACCCAGTGGTTGCGTTTCGTTTTTCTCAGCCGTTCAGGTTTTCATTTGCAGAAACTAATTTTTTTAAGGGTCATCGCTTGAATGGATCTATTCATTAGAATAAGATGATCCAAGATGGCCTCTGTGATTGGAGGAAATTCAGAAGTCCCAAACCTCTGGGACTTGGCAATAGTCAAAAGTCCCACCACGGGCTAGCTTCTTTTGTCTAATCCCCGGCCTTTGCCCCACCTCCCTCTCCCCTCCAGATTAACACTGATAGGTGCATAGGTTATGATATACCATCGATCAACCTCGTTTCCAGGCGAGGCAGCCTAGCTGTTCATTCCAGATTGAATTGAAAAAGAAAATGGCGTTCACGGCTTTATATCCGAAGACGAAGTCAGCGAAGTAGCTGAATTTCTAACTAACTAAACGGATGAGATGCAAGAATACGCAAAATACATCGCTAGAAGGATGTTATCTACTTTTTGAGCAGTATCTGCTGGGAAAAACATCTGTTTATATCCCGAAACCGTGCCAAGAAATAGGCCAAAGTTTTAATGAAAGTCTGTGAGAAGGTAAGCTTGCTTTTTAACAAATAAATGAATAAATAAACAACTATTGAACTGGGCTTTCGTATGATGTAAAGAATTATGCAGATCTCGTAGGACGTTTACTGCGTGTCTCCAAGTTGCAAATGCTAATAAAGTTCAGGGGGGGGGGAGCCCACCCCGCCCCCTGGTTTACACCGGACCTTCCGGTCGATGAGGCCGATCATTTAACTCGAAAATCAGGGGAAAAATGCATATTAAACTTTGCAAAGAAAAACAAACAATTAACTTTTTCTCGTTTTTGTTCTTCGAGTAACCATAATCAGTTACTAACTGTAAATGGAGGCTGCAAAATGTGATTGAATACTTCTTATTGTTTTGCCAACAGCGAGTAACACACGGTATGTTTACAAGTGATCAGAATAGCAGCCAATGGCAATCATCCACGTCCGATCATGAAACCGGCTACGGCGAGCTGATGCAAACAGTATACAGAGTGTGACGACAATCAGAATTAATGTAATTAAAAATTGTTTTTAGCTCCTTCATGTACAAGTTTTTCTCGATCAGTATATCAGTCATCTGTGAAAGATTTTTTTTTGGATCCTGCGTGATTGTGCTCCACGGAGTTCATGGAAATATCAGTCCATATCATTGAAAATCTCTCTGTGTTCCTCCGAGCGATCTCTCAGGCTGCATCAAAGCTCAAGCTAAACTGGCTTACAAACTTAATTATACACTGCTCTGCTTCTGAGAGTCAATTCTACATACATGTACCTTAGTCTTGGTCATCATTAGAATGCCAACTAATCTGAACCAAATCCTTCCCTTTTCTTGACGAGACAAAGCGTGTCACTGGCGCGCTTGTCACGGGTTAAGCAAATCTACAAAGTAAGATGAAAGTTTCCATAAGAAATTTGAATGCAACCGTCGAATGTAAATCAGCGCTTGTTTATCACTCACAAAAAAGCACGGGCACTTATTAGGTGCACCTAGATTTTTTGACAACAAACACCACTTCAGTCCAAACAGGATTCGAGCTACACTCTGCACCGAGGAGCCGCAACCAAACCGAGGCTTTGATTATATGCATTAATTACGCACGGACTATGAATGATTGGGGAATCCCCTGCCGACAGAATGACGCGTCATTACGTAATCGGTCCATCAGCGTAAACAAACTGAGTGGCACCACCGTTCTGAATGGACTTTCAAATTCAAGAAAGCTTTTGAAAGAAACTGGTTGTCTATTTCTCAGCCGTTTTTACATGCTGAGTAGCAGACTAGGCACTTCCAAGCCATAGGAACTCATCGTGATATGGGGTCCTGATTTCGAACACCAACATTTGTTTGCCTTTTTTGTGTGGGTGACCAGTTGCGTGTAATTCAATAATTGGATTTAAAAAAAAAAGAAAAAAAAGGAAAGAGTAATTTTATTTTAAAAGCTACCGTAAAGGTGTGTATTGTCTTCTTTCTACAAAGGGAAGGTGCAGCACACGGAAATGACGTTATGACTGAAAGCACGTAGTCCCTTGGTCACGTCACTTGTAACGCAATCAGTTACGAAACTATGCCCGACTGAGCCCGACTCAGTTGAGATTTTTGCACAAAAAAAAAGTCATCACAAACGCGTTTGTCTGGGAACTTATAAACCTTTTTTCACTTATTATACATCAAGAAGTCTTGATTATGAGATTCAAACGTAGACTGCGAGCACTCTCTTATTTTTCTTTGCATAGTTACTACACGCAAAACCTAAGCACGCGCCTGATGAGATCAAGAACTAGACGGATTTTGAGAGAAAAGGCGGACTGCAAGCAGTCTAGATTCAAACGCTACATGCAGACATTTCCTTGATATACAGTCTGTTGCCCAGTATCCGGCCACTTCAGTTTACCATTGCCGCAATAACTTTCCTTTCTCTCAAAAGGTTGAGTTTGATCGTCCGGGTGAACGTAGTCCTGAATAGGACTGTTGTTGTTGACAGTGACTGACGTTTCGACAACCTGTGCGGTAGTCATCTTCAGAGTCAAAGTGAGTTGTAAAATGTAATAACAATAACATCGCGACATAATTGACCAATCAGATCAATAACCAGAGTATAATACCATCAACTGACGTAATACAACTCACTTTGACTGTGAAGATAACTACCGCACAGGTTGTCGAAACGTCAGTCACTGTCAACAACAACAGTCCTATTCAGGACTACGTTCACCCGGACGATCATACTCAACCTTTTGAAATGACTCCTGGGTTCAAACCTTTCACAGTTTTCCTTTCTTTGTCACAAGAATTCTAAAATTTGGCCCAGAGACAATCTATTCAGCCCTGATTCAGTCCTTAATATGACAAAAGACAGGATGATTTTTTTGCCTTTGTTTCCATCGCGATTCCAAAAATATAAATCGATCTGGGAACCTAGCATCGTGAAATAAAACATAACCAGGAGCGGCTCCTGACATAACAAATGACTGGGATATGGTTTAGGAACGCGAGCGGCTGTTAAATGGGATAGTTCTCACTTCATTGTCTAGGAGCTTTTTCACTGATTTAAGGAACGCATCCGTGGACAAGCCAAAGCCGCGGTTTGCAAGCTCAATTAGCCCATCTGCAAACCTGTCTGTTTTTCTTCATTTTTGTTAAAAAAAAAAAACAAGCATACAAACAAACAGGCGAAGGGACCTCAATCCGACGGTCCAACTAAGGTCATTCTCCTATTTAGTCTGATCTGAGTTTAGTGTTGATTTCTTCATGCTCAGTCCCCGCATTTGACCTGCTTTTCTAGAACTAATTCCTCCTTCTTTCGCATCTCTCAATCCCTGTGAGACATTTTTCAGACCGTTGCAACCCCATTCTAGCAGTCATGACAACTGGGGAAAGTATGAGAATTCCCGGTTCAACTCCGACGCTTCCGGTTATATGTAGACTTATGCACTGTCACGCGAAACAAGCCGTGTACACGAAATCAACTCGCCTCTGCATGAATGAGTGAAGAAAATTTCCATACGGAGTTGAGTAGAATTATATTTTACGATTATATCACATATCCTAAGCTTTAATTATAGTTATAGATATGAAATAAATTTTATACGGATAATGTACGCAGCCAGGAATCTATCTGACCCAGCTAATTCATCGATTCTGTACAGCAAAGAAAAAACTGGCCGGATACTGGGCATCTGACATCAATATGTTTCTGGCCTCTGTTATTCCAAACAAATTGAATTTCAAGAAGAATTAATAAATTTTCTGCGAACATGACTTCTTTAAGTATCTTCACTTTAAATATAAAACAGTTTGTTTGAAAATATCACATATTACCAACCCATTTCTGAACAGCACTACTTTTGCTGCGCAGCAAACAGCATAAATATTAGCCATGAAACGTTTACTCACCTGAACAGAACGGCGCCTTCTGCCACTGTTTCGCAAGCTGTAAACTTTCATCTTAAAGTTGAAATGTTCAGATTTCATTCGAAATACTTCGTTTACCGAGAACTGAAAAGGGCGCCTCAAAAATTGAGTTTTTGTTTTAAGTGGCTGGATACTGGGCAACATATTGTAGTGTCGAAATGCTCGATGTAAAATGCGACCGTTTTCAATTCCGGTCGAAGTTATATCTGTAGCTATTTTTAGTGCACACGTTTATCTAATCAAAAACTTCGTTATGTTGTTAAATGAGCGCGAAATAAACTCTTCAGAGTCGGGAAAAAAAAGTTACTCACTTACAAGGACCATACAAAATATTTTGACGAAAACGTATCAAAAGTAACTAGAGGTTTGTGTCACTAATCCTCGAAAGAAATATACCGTTCGATGATGAAATCGAAAATCGATATGGGTTTTACAAGCTGGTCCAGAATAGAACATTAGTTACCATTGGTTACATTCATTCATGTAAAAAAATTGATTATTTTTTACCAATCAGCGAGAAGAATAAAATCCCTGGGATTTTCCCTAAGGTTTCGTCATCTGCTAAAAATAGCAAGGCACTACGATAGCATAAATAAAAGGCTCACTGAAAGTGTTCCTCAATTGAAATAGTCTTTGGTTTGGTGTACACCGTTCTTCAGCCGTTAGATCTTCTACCGTAGTTACGTCTGTGAGGAAAGAAAGCCCTCTTGCCTTTATAGGTAAGTTGATATCGCGTCTACTTACATATACAATAACTAAACTGTTCGTAAAATGAAAATGTTGGAAGGTAGAATGGGAGAAAATAGCTGTTAGACCTGTGAGCAAGGCACGACAATTTTGACTGTTGACGGCGCTTAAGTGGAACTTTAGTCCAAGACTTTAAGTTTAAGTAAATGTTAACTTCTGTATTAATTAAAATAACATCAACTTTTTGTTCTGTTTTGGGGGGTTGTATTGGCGCCTTTCACTTCAGTTAAAATTTCGAAAATTTTTCAAATATAGGCAAGTTGTAAGGTCTTGTCAGTAATATACAGAGACGGAGGTTTTTGGAGAACATGGGAACTGGTTTTTCCAGGTTAGAGATTCTTCAGAAGCCAGAATTCCGTGAAGATCAGCTGAAATAATAAGATTTAAAATAACTCGAAACTTTTTTATGTTAATCTGCATTTTTCACGGTTGAAGGGAAAAAACTTACCTTTTTCGACAGCTGACGGTTAACCCCGTTGAGACCTTCAAGCACGCCTCGCGGAAGGTATCAAGAGTCTGAATCTCACAGTTCTTTTCTTCTTTTTTCTCTGCGTATTCTAATCAACCAATCACTTCTGCTACAAGTTCTACTACCTTCTACTAACCGGGGATTTTACTTCTTTCTCTTTTTCTCTCTCTCGCCGCTCTCCTTCATTCTAATGTAATAGTTCTAGTACTTACTTTTATTCAATGAATAAACAGCCCAAAGCAGAGATTTACTAATAAGATCTTGTTTCTATTTCTTCCGCATATTGAGAAGCAGTACTGTAGCCTTCATGTCGAAAATCAGGAAAAAGTTAGTCATCGTCGGCGATGGTGCTTGTGGAAAGACTAGCCTTCTGTTTGTGTTTTCTCAAGACGCATTCCCCGGATTTTACACTCCAACCGTTTTCGAGAATTATGTCGCTGACATTGAAGTCAACGGGAAAATGGTGGAGCTTGCCTTATGGGATACGGCCGGACAAGAGGCATATGACAGACTGCGACCACTGTCTTATCCCGACTCCGATGTTATCCTGATGTGCTTTTCCATTGATAGTCCGGATAGTTTGGAGAACATTCCGGAAAAATGGTCTCCTGAAGTAAGACATTTCTGCGGCCATACGGTACCAGTCATTTTGGTTGGTAACAAGAAAGATTTGAGACACGACAAAAGTGTGAAGAACGAGTTATCGAAGTTGAAGCAAGCGCCGGTATCAAGCGAAGAGGGGCGTGTGATGTCTGAAAGGATCAAAGCTTATTCTTACATGGAATGTTCTGCTAAAACTAGAGAGGGAGTCAGAGATGTGTTTGAAACAGCCGCGAAGGCTTCCCTGAAAAAAACGCCACGCAGGCCTCAATCATGGCGTAAATGTAGTATATTATAGCTATAAAGACTTAAAAAACTGATGTATTTAAAACGGCAGCGAAGGCTGCAGTGAAAAAAAAAAAAAAAAAATATGTAAATGTAGTATATTATAGCTATAAAGACTTAAAAAACTGATGTATTTAAAACGGCAGCGAAGGCTGCAGTGAAAAAAAAAAAAAGAAAATATACAGAAGAAAATGCAGCATAATATAGGAGAATAACATTTAAAGGTATATTATAGAACTTTGTCATAACTGAATGACCAATTATTACATAGAAATATGTTAATAGCAACATCTATATCCTCCCTGAGTTTTCGGGCTCAAGCTTTGTAGTGTAATTAGTACAGCGCAGAAACGTTCTGCATGCAATTGGCCATTGTTTTTGTCACCTTTATTATTAGTTTAAAAAAAACTCCCAGTATGGTAGTTTTATATGGTTTCAATCAGAATAAGAAAATGTATTCGGAAGAACTGATTATTTTCTTATTTACTTTTACTTTTTTTACGTCTGATGATTTAATTAACGAAAAAAAATGCTTAATTCCCCCACCCCCCCCCCCACCGCCAACTCCCCCTTCCATGACAAAAAAAAAACACAAACAAACAAAAAAAACGATAACGTATCGTTCGGTTCTTTTTGGAAGTGTCTCATGACCAAACTTAAAGTTAATCAAAAGGATTCAAAATTGTTATCTTTTGATGCGCTTTGGCTGACCACGTGAGATTTGTTCTCGTTGAAAATTACGAATTTTAGACACTCGGAACTGCTTGTATGAGATGTTTTGTAAAACTGCACATAATCGTGAATGTGATGAATATAATATGATTAAATGATGATGATATTAAAGGAAATTACTGCAAATAAACGAGTTCCAGAAAATATTCATTACCCCCCCCGCCCCCTCCCCAAGGAAGGTAACGTAAATTCCGAGGGCAGGAGAGGGGTGCAAAAGGTGGCGATTTCCGAGGGGGTGGCTTTTATCTGGGAAATGAAAGAAGGTAAATATACAATGACCCTCTCTAAGATTCAGGTCTGTGCAAATTTTCACATGCGATACATTATTCGGAGAAATGTTTTGGCTAAATTTACAGAGTTTTGAATGGTGACCCCATGTTAGTGCATGCCCCTCAGACATGGCTGCCGGAAATCAACGGAAACATCTATTACCGAGTTTTGCTACAAAAGCATGGATTCATCCCTCGAGGGGAACTCATAAACTTTTCCTAAAACAAGGACAGTTCAGAATCTGTTCAAAATCCCCCAACAGCTTTCTTGGTCGCCAAGTACATGCTGTGTCACGCTCCAGGTTTGAAATTCAAGCGGTACTCTATCACAAAACCAAGAACCCTTTCGAAGTGAAAATTTGCAAAAAAAAAAATTAAGTTTATGGCTGCTCTAATACTACAGGTGACTAAAAACTCAGGAGGATCGATAATTCTTAGTTTTGAATTTTGGTGACGTCATGTAAAAACCGAGAATATGCCCCCCTACGGCCCCGTATATGCCTTAATCCGAGCCATTTCTGGGTTCCATGAAACTCTCACTCTCAAAACGAGGCCAAGTGCCAAACCTTTCTTGTGAAAATGAGTTTTATTTGCATGAGAATAAAAATACAGTGTACAGGTAACAGTGGGCTAAATACATGTAAGCATAAACAGCAGGTCAAACACTGACCATGATCCTCAAGATATTCTTTTGCACTGTAGAATGTCAATAAAATTGGCTAAAAATTGAGAAACAGAAAATTAAAGTCCTCTGAAAAGTTTATTGATTGAGATGTCAAAGCTGCGCGTATCAGTAAAACCCCGGTTGCGTGACACCTTAACAGGAATACAACGCACCGGAATAAGTGGGATGAAAAGGTCAAAGTTTCAACATTCAACTTCTAGTATAATTTTCAAAAATGGTGACAAACAAAAGCGAATACAACGCTGCGAATAGCTTTTAAAAGCGAAAAGATGTAATTTGTAATAGAATTAAGTAAAGATATGGTCCATCTGAGCTCATAAATTTAGACAAGTACCGTGTGCAGAACACATTGTTCGACATTGTTGACATGATATCTACGTATCCCATTGACTTTTTTGACATAATTGAACACTGTTGAAAAACGATAAACAAACCTCAAGTACACAGAGAATCGCCAATATTCGATCCGTGAACGAATGTCACAAAGTAGATACCATTTCCTGGGCGAGAAAAACTGTTTCCAACGCAGCACGAACGGTCAAGAAAAAGATGAACAACGCTATTAATACGAAGACGGTCAAGGAAAAGATGAACAACGCTTTTAATACGAAGCGATCGAGAAAAAGATGAATAACACTTTACATGACCAGAGGCTGCAGAGGCAAACGTGTGCTAGCGTCTCAAAGCGAGGCACATGTGTGTCGACACAAAATCTCGCCAGTTCACTGCACAGGGAACCCAAAGAAAATAGGGGTTGCGTTCTCGTACCTCGAATGCAAATAGTTTTAGATGACGGAACGGCTTCTAATTACATCCTTCGACGTCAAATGCGTGACGACAAGCACTCAAATAAAAAGGAAGGCAATTTTGAAAAAGAAATTGATGACAAAAACGCAAGAGATTTTCATCACTTCCTGACGATATTACTTCCTTTCTCGTAAACTAACGAAAATTTGACAAACCGGGTGTAACAACAATTGATTGTTGTTTTCCTGGCTCAGAGTATAACTCGAGTCATCCATGGCCAGCTCCCTAATCCAGTTTAAATACAGTAATTGTGTTAATAAAAAATTTTATTAGCTCAGCATAATAATTTATCACGTGCCTCGAGGATTCAAGTGAAAATCAATGACTCTTAGCGTTTCTAACCAATCAGAAGCCTTAGAGGAAGTTTGGCGTAGAAATCTTCCCTGACGTCATAATTAGAAACCAAAATAACTGCACCGCTCTGATAGAATAAATTGAGGTTATTCAACAGTTGTCTCTCATTCCCAAGTTTTACTACCCAGTCCTTAATCTAACATCGAACATTTCATCCACTCTAGGTACGTCAAAGCAAGCCGGTTACTCAGAGTTGATTTTTACAAAGGTATGTTGTAATTATAAGTGATGACTTCGCCAAAATATACTTTAACCACTTTTCTCTCGCAAATTGATACAGCCTCGTCCGATAAAAAAATACTCATACAAACTTTTTTAAGTCAATATGGATAATTAACAACTAGTTTACGCGTCAGGCATGCATTCCTGGTTGAGATCTAGCGGCAAGTTTGAGGAACAAGTAACACGCGTAAAAGCTGCTCGAGGCGAAACCGTAAGGGCAGTTCTAACTTCTTCAGCTCTCAGAGAAATTCCCAAGTCCTTCATATCTTGATAAACGCGCAGCTGACGCAAGAAACAATTGTTTTATAACATTTTCAACGCGGTGGTTTAAAGATCAAAATTCCCTTTGCTACGCTTCAATGCGTACAAACACGTCATCAGCGTGCACAATATAATGGGAATGTAAAGCACGTTCACAAATTTACCAGCTATGCAACAATTAATGCATGCAATATTATTTTTTGCAAGTGAAACCCAACTTGGTGGTGATATCTGCGACAGAATACAAAGCTCTGTGAAATAGAAAATTACTTATTTACTAGAGTTGTTCCTTGATAGGAATCGGCTATTACATTCACTTCAAGTTTCAATCGGCATTCAATACTGCTATTTGGTAAACAGGTGTTTGAAATGGTCTAACTTCTGAATCAGCACGTATTTTACAGTGCTACTCTAGAGAAAATTAGCTCATGGACAGTTCCTCATGATCAATTATTAAACCAAAACTTGATTCAAATTAGGCACCTGCACCTCTCTCATTACATCTGGTATATGGAAATAGTAGAGACGCAGATTTTTTTATTCTAGATGAATAAAGAGCTACTATTTTATTCAGAAGTGACGAACTTGAAAACCTTAGGTTTTCATGATTCAGGATGGACACACTGTGGTGTCATCTCTCTAAGATTTCAAAAAGTTACAAGGTTGAAGAAAGTTCTCCCTTTCAGCTGTCATTATACATTTACTGTAAATTAGTAATCAAGAGAAGAACTTAAGTCTAACTGATACGTTTGTCTATTCTCATCAACTTTTGCTGAATATTGTATCGATATTGTAAGGCCGAATTACATATTGATCTCAATGCGGTTGAAAAGGGTCAAGAGAGACTGAGACGGTGTGTCAGTCAGCACGTATTTGTGAGAAAGAGTTGAATAGATTGGGCAACTCATGGACCAAGCGTCTTCTTTTCTCACTGTAAAACTGAGGCCTTACCTTGCCTCTCCATTCAGAATAAAAAGCAAACATCAGCTGATCTCAGTGTCATAATTGGACGAGACGATAACCCCTTAAAAAAAAGGCTATAAGTTTTGTTCAATTGTAATGATTGCTTAATCACGCTAAATAAAGTATTCACTTTTCATCCCTTTGCAGATTAACGATTCGTGATGTTAGCCATCAGGAAAAAACTGGTCATTGTAGGTGATGGTGCTTGCGGGAAAACCTGCCTTCTGCTGGTGTTTTCCAAAGATGAATTTCCCGACACGCATGTGCCGACAGTTTTCGAAAACTATGTAGCTGATATGAAAGTTGATGGGAAAATGATAGAGTTAGCGTTATGGGATACAGCCGGACAAGAAGATTACGACAGGTTACGGCCACTGTCTTATCCCGATACTGATGTTGTCCTGATGTGCTTTTCTGTCGATAATCCCGATAGTTTTGAGAACATCCCTGAAAAATGGGCTCCTGAAGTACGACATTTCTGCCCAAACGTACCAATCATTTTGGTCGGTAACAAGAAAGATTTAAGACACGACGACAGGGTGAAGGAAGAGCTATCAAGTAAACCAGCGTGTGTAACGAGCGAAGAGGGTTGTCTTATGTGTGAAAGGATCAAAGCCCATGCTTACATAGAATGTTCTGCGAAAACGAGAGAGGGAGTCAGAGATGTGTTTGAAACGGCCGCGAAGGCTGCACTGAAATCTAGGCGTGACAAGCCTCACCATTGGTTTAAATGTCGTATGCTATAGGCAGTAGTCCGGCCAGGATGTATTCGTGAAACGTAGAGCGTAAGAGTGGAAGGATGTCTACTGTGAAAACTGTCACGTGATAAAAGAGATTCTTCATCAGATCAGATCAACTGATCGAATTAAACATTTGACTGTTGATTTCTTAGTAACGGATTCGACATTTGATATTTTTTTGTATTTAGATTCAGAGTTTTACTGCAAAGACATGAATAATCTTTAGAAATTAAAATTATTTTGTGAATCATTTCGTTGCTTTTGTTTGGCATTTAAATACTCTAAGTACATCGTTGTTGAAGTGGTAGATTGTACTCTGCAGCCTGTTATTGGTCTCTCTTCTTTTCTCAGTTCTAATAATTCACTACTTTCACATTAACCATAACACACATTGTTTACCCCACTAAGACACTAAAAAGCGGCAGCAAAAACGTCACCAGTTTAAATGAATTTCTCGTTTTTTAAAGTTTGTCGCGTTTATTCCAGCAATTGGCTGAAAATGACAAATGTAGGCGAAATTCCCTGGAGTTGATTACTTGGGGACCGCACTCAAGCTAAGAAAGAGAAAGAAAAATTCGTCGTCGCTTCGTTACGTCCTCCATGCCCTGGGGTTAATTCCTTATTTCAGCTATATAGGTATGTGCCGCCCCATCGGGTAGGGTTTTTGTGCCGTTTTGGTCTGAAGTGCCCAAATTTGGTCTGGAATCGGTTATGGTTTCTGAGGGAAGTAGGGCAGTGTATGAACCCATTCATCGTTTAAATTCCAAATGAGTAAGAAAGAAAGAAAGAAAGAGAAGTATGAGAACTCGAAATGTATTTCAAGAATTCTTACGTTTGCGCTCTAATCGTAAGTAATGATAACATAATTTCTGTCTTAAAGGCCAGGTCTGAAAACGGGTCATGGAAAATTACATTTCTTGGTCTGAAATAGGTCAGGATTTGGAGAACCTGGCGGTACACCCCCCACCAAGAATTCCCAGGAGTACCCTCCTGGGCCTCCATGAAACTTGCACCAAACAAATATTATTTGGTTTCCGCCAAATTGTAGCTGAAGAAACGGCCTGATAAAGCTTCTTAACCCGGCTTTAACTCCGAGAAGTGACTTCTCAAATTCTCCTTGCAATTTAGATACTCTATCCAGCAAATAGATGACGAGAATCGACAAACAGATGAACTCAAGGTTGTTATCTTGATGTAACACCAAATTCTCTAAATTTATCTACAAGGAAATGTACAGCCGTTCGAGTTCAGCATTACGTAGCATATCTTGAGAGTTAAAGGGTTAAACTGACCGCAAGGGAAGCACCTCTCTTGTAATCGCCCCTGTCTCTCAAGCGATTTGCCAGGAAAAAAAATTAACAAGGAAATAGAAGTTGTCAACAGTCAAGGTGTACTCCGTAGTTTTGCTTATTTTGTTGTTCGCAGAAAGCAATACAGAATTTAACTGGTAAGAAAATTTATGATTCTGCGTAGGAGTTTGAAATTGCACGTTACTAGTTTTATTTTAAAAACCTGATATTCCGCTGGCCGCTTTATTGACTCCGATGGCTGCGATTGAGACTGAGAAGGAGACTACAACTCTATTAAACTTGATGATTTGTAATGAAATTTTTTCGTTAAATTTTGCAATTGAAAGTAATCTTCAGTCTACTATGAGCAACTTGGAATTCTTCACAGAGGCTATCACATCGATGAAAATATACGAGGCAATACTGCTTCTTCCGCACTCTTAACTGCAGTGCACGTACACATCAAGGAAGCGGAGATGACGTCACAGATCAGCTGAACTGAGTTACGCAACCCAATTTTAAAAAGTAGCCTCCTCCAAGCTACTTGAAGTGCCAAATAAATAATTGATCATTAGTCTGAGCAATTAAAAGCCCAAAGGGAAAGCCTCTGGGACTTTCCCTTCGTCAGTGGGCAATAATAAATGTACCACTCTGATATAATAAATTGGTGGTGGCTAAGAGTTTTCCTTCACTCGCAAGTTTGACTCCTCAGTGGAATATCTTTGATTTTTGGTTCACTCGATGAATAGCCACTGTTAAGGTCGTGCCGGGGACACCTTAGGGTCAGATAGAAGTTAGATAGTACACCTAAGAAAGCACATCCATTAGTAATAACTGATCAACAAATATGAAAATGAGAAATGTGAAAACTATACAAACACGTTTCTCTCTAAAACCCTTTATTTTGTACATAATAAAAAAAAACGGTTCGGTTTGGTTAAATTCAGTTCTCGGAGGCAAGCTATCACGAGAAATACAACCTTCACGGATAAAGACTTCCTAGCCTGAATTTCAAACATACCGTTAGAGTCGAAGCGATGTCTGAAATTCAGGCTAAAAGATTTGCCTAAATAGATTTTCATCGATCCACTTGATTTCTAATGATTTTTATCGATTTCGATTTTATCTATTGGCTACTCCGGGATTTGACTACACCCGGAACTACACCGACGTTGATTTGAAAGGGCGGCAGATTTAAATTGTGAAAAACTAGGCGCCCACAAACCTGGTCAATATCACTGAACCATCCGAGGAAGATTTTAAACCCGGTTTTAAAGAAAACATAAGATTTTTCAGATTCTTTAAAAAAGTGATAATGTTTGATCCTTCGACAAATTTGCTGCTTGCTTGTAGTCAGTTTTCATTTTTGGATAAACAGATGAACAGATTAATCTTCCGATATAAATCGATGAAATCTGTAAAAATCAAGATAACTCGATAAACGAAACGAGTGCGTCATCGATTTCTACCGATTGATCTATACAATTGATAACAATCAAATCAGATTTACCGATTTTTGTCGATTTATGAATTGATAAATCGATACCGATTTTTATCGATTGATTACTTCGGGCTCTTAATAGCCACAGTGATAAGCGAATGGTACTGGTATATCGGCTGGATGCAGACATTACCAACTGTTATAGGAAACAGGCTAGTCATTTATTTGATTGTGACACGCAAAAAACTCCGTTTCGTGCAGTCGCTTGTCTTGGCAGACTTGTTCGTGGGCTTTTTTTTCCCAGGGCAGCCTTTCAGTTCTGGATTGCATGCAAGTATACCCTTGTGATTAAAGACATAGCAATGCTTTCCATCTATTCATCCGTTTCTACAGTGCGCCACGGCTCTCGATCGTTATCTCGCCATCTTGAATCTCCTCAGTATATTTCGCTTATGACTTCTCATCGCGCTCACGGTGTCGATAGTCACCGCATGGCTGTTCCCAATATCAGCTTATTTTCCGTTTCCTTTATTACTTCCGTTTCTCCCCACCCCCTTCCCCTTCCCGCTCTTTTACTCGCCCCATTTTTCGCGCGGTCTTTGACTCTCGTTCCTCGTTCTTTGCTCCAAAACCACACGGAAACGCTTGTTACGCAAGCTATTTTACGTCACATACAGTTGACATCTGAATGATGTTACCTACAATCTCGTCCCCAGGAGTGGAAAACGAGAAGACCCTGGGGACGAGGTTGAATAATGTTATGTCGTCTGTTATGTCACGATTTCCAACAGCTGCCATATTGAATGTAAAAATAGGCCGCGTTTTACGACAACATCATTTTCCTGTTTTCTCGTTCATATTGGAGGATACTACTACATCTAAATAAGAAAGGAAAACCGAAATGAAATCTGCTAGTTTCATTAAAGTCATAACAGGCTAATTCAGAGGCCTGCAAGCAACAGAACGGGAACGTTAGTTGACGACGGCGAGCGCAAATTAAACAACTGGCTTGACCAATGGCAGAGCAGCAAATTGGGCACCGGAAGTCGTGTTTAGTCCTTTCCGCGCGCTTTCCCGTCGTCAACTGACGTTCCTGTCTTGTTGCTAAATCAGCCTAATGTCGTAAAAGAAATCGAGATAATTAAAAGGAGGCCAGTAAAAAATGCTTTATGCATGATCCAAATTTAGGAAGTGTACTTAAGAAAAAAAAAAACTCCAATTTTTTTTATCGAAAAATTGTTTTGTCTTTTTTCATTCTCTCTTGCTTTTCATTATCATTATTTAGAGAAACGTGCCTGTCAAAAACTGGTTGCATGGAAACGTCTATGAAGGACAATTATTCGTCACGCAAGAGAATGTTCGCTTTAATACAACGAAGTTATATGAAACATGGTATTATTTTTGAGAGAGTGGTCATGAGCGAAGAAATCAGAACTAGTTAAAGACCAAATTCAAAACCTGAACAAGGAGGTGGAGCAAATAATCCCATGTGTTGATAGATTTAGGAATAGATATTGATTAAAACAGAAAAATCCTCATCTATTTACAACATTTACTTGCAAATTTATACTTAAAAAATAGTTCTTGTAACTGTTTAATAGAAAATGGTGTTTCGTGATCATACCCAGCGCATCCAGTATAATCAAACTTGGATTGAGTTTACCATGATGATAACATGTGCAAACATATGTTTCATTTCATCTCTTCGATCTAGTTGATCTGTGCTATCGATGAAAATAAGGCCTCATCTTGTCACTTCCATATTAACATTACTGATGTCATCGCTGGCCTAAGTTCAATTGAACTCTCGAAAGAAGCAATTAAGTTGTCAATTCAGGCACTTAAAAATGTTTTCTTGACCAGCAGATGGTTTTAAAAGGGAAAATCAACGAAACCGAAATCAGAATCAAGAAGCTCTTGTTACTTCTTTGTTATCAGTATTTTGGTCAAAAAAGGAGCTCTTTCATGAGGAACGATTGGTACTGGTTCGTAGGCTGGGTGCCGACATTGCTAACTGTTATAGGAAACGGATTGGTCATTTATTTGATTGCCACGCGTAGAAAACTTCACACTATAAACAACCGCTTTGTGCTGTCGCTTGCAATGGCAGACCTGTTCGTGGGCTTGTGTTTTTACCCAGGGCAAGTGATCTGTCATTTCTGGATTTCATACAAGTATTCCTCTGTCATCGAAGACATAGGAGTCCTTTCCATCTACTCATCAGTTTCCAACCTGTGCGCTATGGTCCTCGATCGTTATATCGCTATCGTCAAGCCTCTTCAGTATATTTCGCTCATGACTTCTCATCGTGCTTCAGTGGCGATAGCCATCGCATGGCTGTTCCCGATATCAGCTTATTTTATCCCGTCTCTTTGCGCCAGCTTAAACTTATTCGGTCTAAACCTTAAAGTTAGCGTCGTCGTGTGGACTACCATGTTCGAGTTTATTCCATGCACCTTACTACTGGTTGTAACAGTTCAGGCCGTTATTACCTCGAGAAGACACAATCGCCATGATGCACAGCTTACGTCGCAGATACGCTTCAACCAACCTAATATAAAAATCGCACTGCATTCAGCTTCCTCTCTCAAAGTGATGACAGCTGTTGTGGCAATGTTTTTGAGCTGTTACGCGGTGGAAGTCTACAGTTCGTTTTGCTACTTTACAGTGTTTTGCAACAAGCGCGAGGGATTATTCAGGGTGGTTCATTTTCTAGTTGTCGTAAATTCAGTTGCGAACCCTGTAGCCTATGCGCTTTTTAAACGTGACATCAAAAGTGAGTTTGACAAAATCTTCCGCAGAAAGCGTGCGAAAACCATAACACGCAACTGTCAGCGAACAGGTAGAACCAGCGTGTAAAGAAGGTTAAATACACTATTCATATTTTCTCACAATCAGATACTAAATTTTTATTAGAGGTGAAACTTAGTGTATCAAGTAGCTGCGTCTGTGTCCAAGTAAGGTAGCTACATATCTTGTTTGATAAACGGATCAGGTTATCTCTATTTTAAAATTAGTTTCTGTTTTTGGCGTCGCGTATCAAGGCAAGGTTCTAGTTTGTGTATATTTGAATTCTCCTTGAAAATATATATTTCTTGGAGCAGATAGAAATTTAGATATCAGTGTAACAAGGTTTGTATTTATTAATTTATGGAGATTTAGTTTGATGAACTAACAGGTTGCCAGGTTTCTAGTGTGAAGGAGGATATGAAGTTGGCCGATAATTAGCTTTCAGTTAATTAACTGAAGAGGGAACGTGATTTCGTCACTCAGTCGATAGACTCTTATTCTTAAATCTTGCTTTTGGGAAGCAAAGTATATCGTCTACGGTAGCTTGTTATGAGAATACTTAGGACTACTGTGTCTAGTAAATCAAAACCAAAAAAGCCTAATTCATTCACTGAAGCACAGACTTTTCGATGATAACTGATCTAATTTACATGCAGGCCTCTAAACTCAACCTGTACCGTAAGCCAGCATTCGCCTCCAGCGTGCCATTGTAATAACTTTTTCTTGCACTGGTTTGAACAGCGCATTTTTCGTAAATAATAATTTTAAGGGCAAAAGAAGCCGATTATTGTTCGTTTAAGAGAAATAATACACTCCACAGACATGTTATCGCTATAGCTATATGACGTAAGCCGTAACTAAAGCACCCCACAAAGAGCTTGAAGGAATAAAAGCAAAGACGTTTTTGAGCGACGCACGTCAACCGGACCTTAAGCAAAGACGTTTTTGAGCGACGCACGTCAACCGGAAGTGAGGCCTTCTCCCTTTTTATATGCCTTGACGCTAACAAACTTGTATTGCTGAGTTTCTTTTCTCTTTTAAAGACGATTTACCCGAGAGTTTCAACCAAACCGCTCCCCAATGATGCAAAAAGTCCGCTTCCGGTTGACGTCCGTCGCTCAAAAACGCTGTTGCTTAAGCTCCCTATTAACTAAACGTGGTCCGCTTCATATCGTGTTTAAATGGACATCGCCTGACCCTATTTTCACTTGCGGCAGCTATTCCAGATAGGGATTGTAAAAAATCAGTAATTCCATATTATTTGAGCTTAACAGAATTCCATTTGGCGTTTTCAAGGTTGCCCTTGTGAGGGGAACGTGTGAAAAAATAACGCGGGAACTAAGCAATTGACCTTAAAGTTTTTTTCCCATATCCTTGGCGGTTTATGACAATTAAAATGCCATAAAATTGCAATTACAAGTTCAATGCTTTATTCAGGTTCATTTTACTTGTTCAAAATATATTAAATATGGCAATAAATTTCACCAGTTTCAAAATTGCTTTAAAACCTGTGTCAGTGTTGTACGATGTTGCATGCTGAATTATGCTTTGAGTTGACAATAGCAGATGTCATCTTTGAGAGTAAACGTGACGAGTTTATCAAAAGAACCTTTATTTAGCACCTTATTTGCAAAACGAAAATAAAGTAAGTCCAATCTGGATTGAATTTTGAATGATAGGCTTGAAAATAAAATAAACCAAGGTCAAACATTGGAACAGACCTGAATACAGAATACGCTTTGAAATCGGAAATTGAGTCTGAAACACTGTAGAAGAATGGGAGAAAACATAGCTTGAAAATAAAAAAAGTCCAATCTAAAAGATGAATTGAGCCAAATGGGAAAAAATGCCTTTTTGGTTGTTACAATTTAGAGGTGCTGATTTTTTTTATATTACAATTCAGTCGCCGGGGAAAGTCTATACAAGAAGGAACTATTATTAATATATATATTTTGTGTGGCCGATTTTGTGCCAGGATGCAACGTGCTTATCGCGTTCGATATGCTGATTCTAGATACAAAAGAGGTGAATCGAATTATTATAGGTATTGACAAAGTAGGAGCGAAGTTCATTCTCATGTTTGCATTTCAAGAGATTAGCTGTCAAACCTTAGCCGTATTATTATAATTACACTTTCTTCTTCGTCTTCTTTGTTTGTTTCTTTTTCTATATTTCTCAAGATCCCGTAGTTTGAACTGGATGGTTGGCTGGTAGTCAGGCGGCTTATTTTCATTCATATAATCTCCGCGCGCTCGATATCCTGACTTTTTGGTGAAGTCGGATTTCATGCTTATTCGGTAAAATGACATTAAAACAGAATAGACAGCTTCTTTGTAATATCAAAAGACTTGTGCGCTCGAGAAGACTCCGGCGGTATATTTGTAGAACGATTTAAAGTACTGACATTAATTAAATCACATGTGAGTTGAATAAAATCATCGACAACATTTTACTTGTAGGAATACAAACTCTGGGATCTTGATTCAGAGCCTTTTACGTTTTAATTTTTAACTTTTACGTTGAAATTTAGAAACATATGTGGAAAGCAATAAAAAGAGTTCCGATCAGAACGCCGACTTAGTTATTATCCTAAAAAATATTAATATGTAAATAAAGTGGAGAAAGTTATTAATAATACCTTTCCTTTATCAGTGACTAAAAAAACGCTTAATTTTAGCATGTTTTCTCTTACAACGAAATAAAAAATAATGATTTACTTTGCACTCCACATTCATTACTTGAGGGGAAAAATGAAGTTTATAATAAGTCGTGCTGACATGAGTTGAGTAAAGTTAATTAATTTTAAGGAAGAATGGTTTGTTTAGATAACGATTCACGTTTAAGGCATATATTGACTTTGCAACACTTCTCGTTGCACGCACGCTTGGCTATTTTGTGAGATCTGATTTGTTTTACATGTAAAAGGATAGACTGCGAGCAGTCTCTCTTTTGCTCTAAAATCTTTAAGCGAGGGCGCGCCGAGTTGCCAGAGCGAGAATACGAATTTCTCTTTTCGCTCGTATTCGCGCCTTCGCAACTCGCACGACTTCGCTGCTCAAATAGGCCATTTCCGAGTTCCCCCGTGCCTCTGCATCAAAACGAGGTTAAGTGCTCAGCCTTTGATATGTAAATAATTTTTTTATTATCATGCAAATAAAACTCATTTTCACAAGAAAGGTTGTGCGCTTAATAGCCTCATTTTTAAAGTGATTGTCTTTGGTACTCGGAAGTGGCCTATTCTCTCGCTTACAAATTCTCGAGCAAAAGAGAGACTGGTCGCAGTCTAGTGAAAGGAGGGCGAAAGTACAGAGTCACCCGACAGTAAAACGAAAAGGTCCTCAGGACAACAAGTTAAAAAGCACTGAATAAATGAAAATAAGATCCTGCAATCCAAAAAACAAAAACAAATAATCGGCAGAAAAAAAAAAAAACAAAACAAAAAAAAAACGCGAAAAACACTGCTGATTTACAGTTAAACAGAATGAATATTAAAATAAATTTATCTGTGAAACAAAATTGAAACATGATAAAGAGAACCAGTCTTTGCAAGAACAGATGTATAATTCCTGAAATATTTCTGATAGAGATTTATTTAAAGGTTTTATTTTCTCAGTGCTCGAATTGCCAGTGGAGGATAAGTGGTAAAAGTTACCCCCCTCCTGGCAAGACTAGATAAAGAATATTAAACCTGATGAAATATCTACCGAAAGTATTCCATTTTAAATAGAGCCAGTTGCACAACGGGTAAATGGATCCACGCTTTGCTACTCAAGCTTTATTATGTTCATTGTATTATACAATGACGCAGTTTCGGGTTAAAACCATGCTCTCTTCAATTAACCTGAGCGATGGTTGAAGTGCTAGCGACTTCAGCCGGCGGTAAAGCAAGCGGGTAAAAGGAGTTTGATCACCTCTTTAATATTCTGAATTAATCTCCTAGTTAGCTATTTTCTAGGTTTGAATTGCTTTTTTTCTGTGTGTGGTATAAATATAATTTTTGTCTTGTCTTGTCTTGTTGTGAACGGCTACACAGTAGGTTACGGATCGTTTTTTGCGTTGACCACCGCCCCCTTGGTAAAACCATTATGGCCGCTCTTATAAGTAGTAAGAGGGTCTCAATGGGGTGGTGGCTTTTACGGTTATCGGCTAAAATTTTGGCTCTTTTACGGCTATCGGTTAATTTTTTTCAGTTACGGTTAACAGAAAAGTTAAAAATTAACTTCTTTTGTTTCAAAAAGTTAAATATTGATTAACCTGTCTCTTTTGCATCTTTAAATCAAAATAAAGGTCTTAGGATCATCTCGGGATGAGACAAGTTATTCTTTTGAAAAATTTTAAGATTTGATAGATCATACTTTTTATAAAGTATTTCACTTCTAATATTATTTTACACATAGAAATGTCAATAGTCAAATTAAAAATAATCTTTGTGAGAAAGCAAAAGCGGACACGCGAACGCCCAACTCAAGGCCGAGGCGCGACATTCATTATAACCTATGGCCGTTTTCACACTAGAGACGGATTCGTGTGAGACGGGTTATCCGTTTGATGATTCGCGTCAGATAGTTAATACTTCTTAATTTGAAAATGGAATAGTTTTAATTTTGAATGAACAATCCGCCTGACTTTATCCGTCAATTATTTCGATTCGACGGACAGTTTGATGACGGGATTATCCGTTCCAGATAGCCTGTGTACAGCCGCCCCCTCCCCTCAGAAAAAAATCGGAGAAGGGGTGTCTGTGGGGGGGAGGGGGGGCGACTGTACACAGGCTAGTCTCAGACGGATAATCCATTTCTAGCTCTAGCGTGAAAACGGTTAATAACAAAATTCCCGTGTCCAGTGTTTTTAATGATTGCGAAGGACTGTACGGAACGACTGTCTCCCGTTGCCTTGTCCGTAGGCCTCATTATTCCGCGCAGCTAATGCTTTTCGGGTCACGTGGTCTTCATGAGTTCGCCACCGAAATGCCTTGACCGAAATTGCGTGGGAAGACGCCTTACAGGGACTAGGCATGGCAATGTCTACCGTAGCGTCAGAGGAAAACAGGGAAATGTTGTTTATGGGCA